GACTATTTAAACCTCAGTTTGCAGGTGCTAGCAGCTTTCTGTGCGAAGAAGATCTCTTCTTACCACCAGTATGGGGGGAAACTACTGCTTATATCCAGCCTTATCTGTTCTTCATTTCCATTTATACATTCGCAGCTGTTTGTCCTTAATCCCATTTCTGTGGTAGTAAACTCCTTCCCTTTTAGGAGTGAGAAGTTGCTGGTGCTGTGCTCTGAGCAGTAGCGAAGAGATTAGCAAGAGAGAAGGGCCTCTTCAAAAGTGATTGTGTTTGGATTGTTAAATTTATAATAGAAATACAGAGTATTCTAGTTTTATTCTTCATTCAAAAGATCTTAGAATGAGCTGTTGCTTCATTCTGAGGAGATGGAAAGGTAAATAATTTGAGGCATATTACTTGAGCTCTATTAGAGGAAAGGAAATTACTGCCTTTTCTAATTAGGGCTGGAGGGGGGGCCCTCAAAATGAACTGAGTCGCCATAAAAGTGCATTTTAGACTTCTTTGCATAACCCATCAGATACAACTAGAATGATTAAATTAAAACTGGTAATGTGCAGTACCCATCACTCTTTAGAATCTTAGTAAATTATAATAATCTTTCATTTTATTGCTGGTTGTATTAAAACCCCCCCACCAAAGTACTATTTCCCATCAAAAGTTATGAATTTTGGCAGAGAAAGTGACAGCGACATCTGCTCAAGGCTGTTGGGGTTTCTGTTATAAACTATCAAATCTTAATAGTGGAGAGAGCGTGAAAAATTCCTCTTTGGAGTGGTTGACCGTATCTGTAATGCAGAATGCAGCTGTTTAGAACTGGAGCAGGTTGAATTTCAACAGGGAGCCTGTTGAGGCTGGAGTTTAGCATTGCTCCCCTTGCCCCCAGTGCCTGTTTCTGGGGAATTTCAAGAGAGCAGGAATGATTTCATGGTCTTTGTAGCCTGTGGATGTTGAAGTGTTTCTTTTTTAGCATATGGGGGGCAGTATTGAATAAATTATTTTGTGCAATGCTGTCATGTATATCCCATGGGTTATTTTGTTCAGGTGTCAACTGCCTTTTTTTTTTTAAAAAAAAAATGATTCTGTTCTGATTCCCTTAATAAGAGAGTAGGTTCCATGGAATCTGGTTTCAAATGCCAAAGACTTGTTGGACGAACCATGGACTCTCGAGTTCACGGGTGGTTTACAAGGAGAGAATGTTTGTGGCTTAATGCATGGGGCAAAATACAACGCTGAACCAATCATTGCTATTAGTAGTAATTAACTTGTAGCAGGTTGAAGTTCAGTTTCTGTCAGTCGCACTTTATTACGTGCATGGAAGGAGCATCAAGATGCATCTTAAAACCGGTTAAATCCTCCCACAGCCGATCATCTCTGCTGAATCACTCAAAGGCAGATGACTCTGGAAGCAACAGCTTGTGATGACATTAAGGAAGCAAAAGACCTTGGCATCCATTAATGTGGTCTAGTGGCGGCATAAAGAAGAAGAAGAAGGAAATCTGCAAGTAACGAAAACATCTTTTGGCAAATGCGTAGGCCTTGGGAAGGGAAGAGAAATTCAAGCATAATAGGTGGATTGCCTTCAAGAACCATTTGTGGGTGTTAATTATCTTTGAATTGCAGTTGCTCTTATAATAAGATGTCACCAGGCCAAAGAGGAGAAGAGATTTTCCCCGTTCTGCAATGCCTATTACTGGTTTTAAACTAAATGGGTTGTTCCAACACTTGCAGAAAAGAAAGACAACCTTGATTTTTCTAGGTGGGAAGTAGAGGAAGGGAAGGCTACAAACAGTCGCGTTCCAAGATTGCTTCTTGCCTCTGCAGCACAGGCATCCTCTGGGATCATTACTTGCTCTTTACAAGGGTTGTTGGGTGTGGTTTTCTTTAGTTTTCTAGTAGAGATTTATATTGATAAGCCAAAAGCCCTTTGTCAATGCATTTTGGAGTACAGGAGAGAAGACTTGTATAATGAATTTTTAGGGTACTGCCAGACTGTCAATCTTGCAGGAGGGATTCAAGCACATAATGGAAATTTAGGTTTGCACAATTGAACTGGGCTAAAGAACTCTGCCGCCCTATGCCAAGGAACGCCTTTGAGTCGGGGGAGGAGAAAAGCCAGAGCGGGAAGAGTCAGAAGGAGACAGAGAGGAAGTGATGGAAGGGGAAGAGGTAGAGAGCCAGGAGGCGGGAAGGCTCTCCGATGCTGAAGCAGAGCCCCAGCTCCGCACAGGGAGCTCAGGAACAGACGGAGAGCCTGTGCCTGTGCCTTCAGGACAGGAAAGGAGAAGGTTAAAGCGCAGGGATCAGAGACGTCCCATGAAGCTGCCCCGTCTTTTCTGTTGGAGGAGAAGCAGGAGAAGACCACTCCCCGAATCTGAACCGGATGATTCGGATGCTGAAAAGTGCTGAAAAGTGAGTGGTGAAGACTGATTAACGGGAAGACGTATAAACACCCAGCAAACAAATTAGGATGAACCTTCCTTGTTGCATAACTGCCCTGCAAGCAAATCAGAATAAATACTCAATAAACAGGTCATCTGGAGGAGTCCTAAGAGGGGAAACCTTTGTGCTCTGAATCTAAAATAAACCATGGAGCAATTCAAGATGTGGGATTGGTACAGTGCTGGCTGCAAATGACTTCCATGTGGCTGGGGCTCCTTGCTGCTACAGTTGTTTTTGCAAACTTTGAGCCTTGTGACTTTGTCTTCTGCATGGAATGCCTCCGGACTACTGTAACTTGCAGCATCTCTCGTAAAAAGGTTGTCACTGATAAAAGGGTGTTCCATACGTGTTGCCGTTTACTGGTGTAGCAATAACTGTGTGGAGCCACACTCACATGGGAGTGTGTTTTCTTGGCTACCACTATGCTAATGTCACATTTGCATTGAGGTCAAATAAAGCAAGCTCTGATAATTTGATCAGCAGAAAGGATTTGAATAAATATTGTGGGCTGCAGCTAACGTGCAATTTTTTATCCATGCACTTAATAAAATTAGCATATCAAGTTTCATAAATGTGGCAGATGGCTGAACGCCAGTCGGACATACTTCATTTCTCTTACAGGATTTTTATTCTGAAATTGCTACTGCCCAAAGCAAAATATTTTGATAACTCTTGATAATTGGACAGAAATCGCGACGGTTGAGAATCTGGGGCTGTTTCCATTTCTGCTGTTATGTTTGTACAGTGGAGCCGTCCTCTCCCCTTCAGAGGATTCAGGGAGCAAATTTTGGGAGTGTGCAGGGAGAGAAAGGGGGAAGTCCCATTCTGAGTTCATGAGGCAGAACTCAGCTCACATGGTGTTGGACACAATCTGCAGTGAATTGGACCTGCTTTTTATTATTTTGTGGTTCAGTTGTTGTCAAAATTTTTGTATCTCCTAACGCAAAGTGCCTGTAGGCAACTTAAAGTAATAATCAAAAATACAACAGTACGTGATTTTTAAATACATTCATTAACCTCAGTGACAAAATTCCAGTTTGAACCAAACACTAAAGAAAAACAAAATCCCCACTGAGAATATTAAAATTACTATCGATAAAGGTGGTACTGCAAAACAGGAAAACTGTTGCTACAACATACAGTGGTACCTCAGGTTACAGACGCCTCGGGTTACAGACTCCGCTAGCCCAGAAATAGAACCTCAAGTTAAGTACTTTGCTTCAGGATGAGAACAGAAATCACGCAGCAGCGGCGCGGCGGCGGCAGTGGGAGGCCCCATTAGCTAAAGTGGTACCTCAGGTTAAGAACAGTTTCAGGTTAAGAACGGACCTCTGGAATGAATTAAGTTCTTAACCAGAGGTACCACTGTATAGAACTATGAAAACACTAAAAACGAAAAGAAAAGAAAGAACTGGTCGGTGAGTGGAAGGAAGAAGTCTTCACCTGCCTCTAACTTTCATCTTTTGCATACACAGCAGACAGATAGTGACTGTTCAGACAGCCACTCTTGTCTGTTCTAGCACTAGTACGAGACTCCATGTCAAAAGGAAAGAGAGCCAGCCCATAGCTAGGTGTCTTTGCAGAATCCGCAGCAGAAAGTTTGACGCTGCTTCAGCCCCTCATGATTCAAATGCAATGCAACAGCAGCACGTGCAGGAATCCCTGCACTTCCTTCTTGGAAATTCTGCATCCGGGGAAATCCCAGCTGTGCAAAACAAGAGTATTTCTAAGAGACTGCTTTAAAAAAAAACAAAAAAACTGCTGTTGCATGTTTGAACTTATCCCTACATTCATTCAGGTGGTAACTTAACAGAAGAATTCTACATACTTCTCAGAAGCTGTTCTAGTCTTTGGGCCATTGGCCAGCATTTGTCCTCCACTGGTCTAAAAGTACACAATTGCCTTAATTGCTTTTGAAAGCAAATCTGATCAAAGCCGGGTTCTAGAAGGCAATGAGGAGAGAAAGGGGATTGTGCCTTTCTGTAGCTCTGGCAAATATAGTGTCTTTGAGTGGGGTGCTGGTGGAAAAGCTCACATCAGCCTTACTGCCCCATGGGGAATGAACTGGAAGCCAGATGGGTGCTGAATTAGAGCTTTTTGCGACTTATTTTCATTATGTATTCCATAATACCTTTCCTAGGAAGAGGCAGAAACAAGCTGCCCAGATTCAATACTGTAGTTGACATCTCCAGGTAGAGCAGGGAGAGAACAATATTGTAGACCATATTAAGCTAGATGGATCAGTGGTCTGGCTTGGTATTAAGCACTTTCCCGAAGTGTCCCCTCTCCTTAGAAGTAGTATAACTTCTGCATGTTGTTTAGTGGTTGGTTTTTGGTTTGGTTTTGCATGTGGAGGTACAGGGACTTTGGGGGGACAAGTCCTGATGTCCCCCAGGATTGGTTGAAGCACCGTCTATGCCTGGATTGCAGGAATTGGGACACTTTTGATCCGTGCAATGAGTGCCATCTGGAAATTAAGTACTTTTGTTTGTGACATGGTTATTCTGGAATTCGAGTCCGAGGTTGTTGAGCTAATTGGAAGACTTCCCTTTTTCCTCTCCAGAATTCAGTAATTGATGCTGAGGCCTTCCGCTGGAGACTTAAGCTGACAGCTGCCCATTGACAATAGATGCACCTGTTTGCTGAAGTTCCAAGATTCCTTTACTCGGCTTATGTGATTTACTGAAGAGTCTGGTTTTTGTTTCCTCATGAATTATCTTCCACCTCTGGAAAGGTAGAGGTAAGTTGTGTTTCCCAGATTATTTCATACCTTACTCCTTAAATAAAATAAAATTTAAAAATGTTTAAACCTGTCAGATATGTTTTGTACAGAAGCCTTTCTTAATGTGGAACTAATAGATGGAACTGCCCAAAGCAGGAATCCTTATTTTTCATTCTTTGCTGCTTGTTCTGTGAATTTGTTTTCAGTGTATTATCAACACCGAGCCCTGCTATGTTGCACTTGATGTTACCAAACTCGCCTCTAATGCACACAAGCACCAGTTTGGTGGATGTTGGAAACAGAATGGCTTCCTTCCTGGAGTGCAGATTGCTAGCTGCCATTTGGGCTTGAGAAGCAGAGGATAATTGTTTGGTTGCAGGAATCATAGAACTGAAGGGTTGGAAGGGGTCAAGAGGGTCATTTAGTTCAACTCCCTGCAATGCAGGAATCCCAACCAAAGCATCCATGACAGATGGTCATCCATTCTGTGCTTAAAAACCTCCATGGAAGGAGTGTCCACCACCCTCCAAGGAAGTCCATTCCACTGTTGAACAGCTCATACTGTCAGAAAATGTTTTCTTCTGTTTTTTTGGACCTTCAATTTAGGACAGTATAGAAATTAAATAAATAATAATAAATAGTAATCTTTTTTCTTGTAACTTGAAGCAATTGGTTGGGTCCAACTCTCCAGAGCTGGAGAAAACAAGTTGGCTCCATGGGACAGCCCTTTAGACGTTTGAAGGTGGCTATCCTTTCTCCTCTTGTCCAGGCTAAGCATACCCAAGTCGGTAAGATGCAGCCTGAGAACGGCCTTGGTGGACAGTGAGCAGAGGAAAACCCACTTATTCTGTCCCGTGATGACTGCTAATCTGCCATATCAACGTCTGGCTTCTTGGGGACGGGGAGTGGGGTGCATTTCCACCATTGCTTTCAACACTTATGATCTGTTGGCATCTGTCTGTCTTGAGAGACAATGGAATGCGCCTATGGAGTTGAAGTCAAACCTCTGTGTTAGCGGACCTTCCCAACTGCAAGCCTGGGCAGTGTGTACAGAGGTCCTGGGCTGCCAAAATGACAAGACCCCCCTCTCGACCTCGCTGATGTGGTCCAAAGGAAAGCAGAGCAATGCATTTGGCACCAGCTTGGCTGCAGGAATTGCTGGAAGGAGATGTACAGGGTGCCATCCAAGCATCTTAGGGACCCCACTCCAGATTTGTGTAGGGTTTACTCCATAGCCGTTTCTTCTCCTGAAGACATCCCAGAAGGCAGCAGAGGTTTAGGGTCAGAGTTTTCCTCTCCTAGGTTGACGAGCCCCATCTGCCCCTCACTTCCCGCTACAGCACGTTCATAAACCGCCTTCTTGATTGTTGGACCCACTCTTGTTCTCACCTGCTCAATTTGCTAGAAGCTGTCTTCACATGCAGGGGAAGTCTCTAACTTTGAGACCCATAAGCTACCCTCACCTGGTTTAGCCGGCCAGTCAAAGCTGTTTCCCAGGGTGTGGCTGCTGTCGCATACTGACATAGAATCATAGAGTTGGAGTTGGAATAGACCACAAGGGCCATCGAGTCCAAGGGCCATCGAGTCCACTTGTGACATCTTCTCGAAGCCACAAGTGAGAGCTGAGTGCAGGATGGGGACCAAAGTTGGACAAGCTACCCTAGAAGGAATACAATGTTTTCCCCACCAGAAGTACTATTTCTCTCCCAACAACCTGCACACCCCATGACCTTACAATTATGACCCCCCCCCCAAAGCTACAACTTGTAAGTCACTAAACTGGCAGTGAATTTTCAAAACAACTGTTTTGTTCCCATTGCATCTTCCACCTGACTGAACTTTGAGTAATGTCGTTTTTTGAGGATGCAGTGCCTTCTGTTAGAAACCCCACAGAAACAAATGGAAACGGTTCTGCAGCTTCAGCAAGGTCATATTCTTAAACATACATGCCATTAATATGGTAACAGTCAGAGGTATTGCTAAACAGTGGGCTATGGTGAGCCTCTGTTTAATATGCCCTCCCCACCTCTTTGTGTGTTAAGAGAGGGCAGTGAAAGTTTTTCTTTTGGTTTTGAACAAATTGCTGTTTCCTGTTGCGGTTGAAGTCTGAAAACTGGTTTATTCTAACTGTGGTTAGTTCACACAAACCAGGTTCAAGCAACGGTTTCAGATCCTGGTTTAGCTAACCACAGTTAGTATTCAGGGAAAGTGTAGTTTATTCTAACATAATGGAAACTGCACTTTCTTCAAAGCTGAGCGCTGACACTTTCAGTCTTCTTCCCTCAGCTGCAGAGGCGGAGGAGAAAGTCGCAATGAGTATGTGAGGCTGTAGCTCACCATGTGGCTTATTTGCATGCTAAGCCAGACCGTCCTGTTTCTGTGACAAGTAATAGCAGACGTCAGTCGAGTCAGCCTCTTTGCCACCTAAGCTCACTGTATTCCTATCTCTGAAGATGGTTTGCCACTTTTGGCAGAGTATGATTATATGCTCTTCTCTAGTTCAGTGAGAAAACTCATCAGAAACATACCACCACGGGAGGGCCATGAACAGGAGTGGTGTCTCCTGCCTCTTCCCCTTCTTTTTAAAATTTTTATTTTTATTTGGTGGCTGGTGGCTGGGAGCACTCAAAATGCTGTGCAGGTGAGGTCCTATCCATCTACCCTCTGAATTTGTCTGGTGGCAGTTAGGCAAATTTGTGTTGTGGGCCTGTTCCCCACATCCATGCATTTTCTTCCCAAAGGCACACGCCAGGCAGACATTTTAGGAATTAATTCTGGAATCTATTGATGCATTAGATTATGAAACCCGCAGCAGGAGACTTGAAACCTCTTGGCATTTGTTCATATTTATTGTTTGCTGTTAATTGAGTTCAGTTCATGTTTTTGTCTTACTTGACTTGTAAGCTTACTTACTGCTTAGTTTTTAAGAAAGGTGGGATAAAAAGCATTTAAAACGATAAACAATTTGGGAAAATAAATGCAATGAAAGCTTTCTAATGGCGGTCTTTTTGTGTTACTTATAAGTGCCACACTTTCACCAGATGTAGCTTAGTTCCTGTATAATATGTAAATTATGTTGTTTAGATGTAAAGGAATTTCAGGCTTCTGTTATCATCACCCTGAGTTTTAGTACCTCAATAGTATAACGTGTTTGGCAAAAGGCTTGAGTTTACCCTCAACCCCCACTTCCTACCAGGATAGCGCTAGCTTGCTTGAAATGGGCTGGGATAGGTTTGGTTATAACTCTAGGGGTGTCCAACCGGTCAGCCGCGATTGACAGGTCAACCTCCGGATGATCGGGATCGATCGCAGGATCCTTATAGCTCATGTTGTTTACAATCATGTATCCGCCCCCTCCCCTCTTGTTGTTTCCCTGCATCACATTTAGTGTGTGTTCCATTGTTGTCTGCACACTTATTGTTTAAAAGGCCAACAACTTTGTGAAGCCCTTCCTCCCAAAATGGATAGATCACTGCCAGTTTTCCCCGCCAGGAGTAGATCACAGTCTCTTGGGAGTTGGACGTTTCTGTACTTAGGGGCATAAGTTGGCAAGATGATGAGCACAGGGTTGCTGTAAAATGTGACACCCCCATTGTGCACCCCCACCCCCCTTTGTTAACTGGTAATGTCATGTGGCCAGTCTTCTGTTTTAATTTGTTGCAGGCTTGGCCAAACTTGGCCCTCCAGCTGTTTTGGGGACTACAGTTCCCATCATCCCTGACCACTGGTCCTGTTAGCTAGGGATGATGGGAGTTGTAGTCCCAAAACAGCTGGAGGGCCAAGTTTGATCCATCTGCCAGAAAGCTACTTTCTGGTTTCCCCCCTCCTCTGTCATAGTGAAAAGGGGGCAGTTCATTTTATTTCACCTTGGATAAGGCAAGTATCAAACTGCAGCTTCACAGGAAAATGCTGCCAGATGCAGAAATGAAGCAAAACGCAAGGATAAAACTACCAAAGTGATTAATCATAGATACCATACCTCGGCTTCCCTTAGAAGAGACCCAAGCTAGCACGTATGAGCATTACTTAACCGCCAAGTATTCCTGCCTCTTTTCTAGGTGCACCTGTAATAGGCTTGAAAACAGGTAGACGGAAGGTCAGATCCCAGGCAAGGGGCTTGGCAGGCTCAAAAGGCTCAGCCAGTTTGGATCGAGGGTGAGGAGCTCAGCAGAAACTCAGGAATCGGATGCAAGAAACAGAGGGCAAAACAACCTGGTTTAATGGGGCCCATAATTCTGGAAGGGCTTATTGCACAGGCAAAGAACTGGAAGCAGATTCAGAAAGCTGAGGCTCTCCGGTTAAGACCAGGCACGCTCCTTGTGTGTTCCGCAGGCCACGGCCTGCCCTGAGGTATGTCAAGGCTGCAGGATTTGTCATCTTGTGGACAGTTTCTGCCGTTAATCCCAGGATCAATAGTGCTGTTGAGGGAATAACAGGAAGAGGCACGAGCAGAGTGTCTGTGCCAAGTAGTTGCATGCCTAAGCTCAACTTGTTTTAGAGTGGCAGCCCTTTTGCTCAGGCAGGAGCTCATTTCCTAGAGGCAGGTGCACCTACTGTCTTCCACCCCTTGTGCAAAAGCACAACTGGGGAACAACATTATTAGCTCACCCTGGCCTCGGTAAATTTTATTGCTTTGTATTTGGCCGTATCATTTTAAGGTTGAAACATTTCTATTGCAAACTTGGATCTGCATTGTGAGTCGAGGACCCGCCACCCACATAAGAGTGTAATAAGGCACAAAGACACATTATTTTAGGTTAATGGGCAAAATTAGGCCACAACTTTTATTGGTTACAGCATGTGAATAGTATTGGCTTAGGCATTTGATGAAACAGCAATACAAGACTTCACCTCGCACATCCGGGAGTCATATCAGGGTTAACAACCAATGGGAGGAGCTTGTTGATGCAAATACAACTGGAAGCTCCCCCATGACGTCAC